TAGCATTGCATGCAGAATCCATACGGCATTACAAAAATGAACATGCAAAATAGACAAAACAATGGCAGGGTTGCTGTAAGTTTTGCGGGCTGTATGGCCATGTTCCAGAAGCATTCTCTTCTGACGTTTCACTTGCATCTATGGCAGACATCCTCAGAGGTTGTGAGGTCACAACCTCTAAATCTCTGAGGATGCCTGCCATAGATGCAGGTGAAACATCAGGAGATAATGCTTCTGGAACATGGCCATACAGCCCGAAAAACTTACAGCAACCCAGTCATTCCAGCCATGAAAGCCTTCAACAATACATTAAACAATTGCAACATTCAGAATTCATCATGACTTAATATGTTGGCTAGGCCTGCTGGGATTTACAGTTGAATAAATCCCACACCATCCCAGGACCTAGGTGCAAAAGGGGATGTTTGTTTGCTACAGAGTTGAAACTATGTTTGCTGTAATAGTAATGCAGAATGCAGTGTTTTTCTGAGTAATTTAAATGTGGTGAGAAATGAGAAGTTTTACAATCTTGGTCATGCCATTATATTTATCTAAGCTTGAACTAAAATTAGAAACATTTACATCCTTTACGACTTCTTGTGACTTTGTACTTGATTTCCAGCAGCAGTTTCTCATCACTCTGTTAATTATTGTCTTGCCATTGATATTCTTATCAACTAATTGACATTATAAGGCAGAAGGTGACTTATTTCAGATAACATTCTCTTGAGTGGTGAAAGAAAGCAGTGTACTGTAGTGGTCATGTTTGGAAATCGCCAGAGATGAATTCCTGCTTTGTTTCCGCCAGAAAACATAGCATTAAGATACAGTCCAAATGAACTTTTTTTTTCCAAACAAAAATGACAGCACTGTGTCTAACAAGTTGAACTCTTGAAGAAGCTTCAGAAAATGGGGGCAAAAGATTTCTCTGGCAGAGAACAGTTATGGGAAGGCAACCTTATTAGGGAAGTTGCCTCAGGCAGCAAATTCATCCCCACAGCTGTTTTTCCACAATTCCCTACAATCCTGTTGGTTACTTCCAGTTAGAACAGACCAATTGAATCAACTGTTGAATTGTGGGTCAATGTCGATAAATCCAATAGCCTACTCTAGTTAATACTCTGAACAGGATTCAAGTAATGGAGTGGTTAAATATAAGATGTGGGTTCACAACTATAGTTAATATATTAGTCTCCTGCTTCTGGAGGACTGTCTGTCTGAATACCAGTAAGTTTCACATTTCCACTCCAGTCAGTTTCTAAACCAAAAAATGACAAGGAGAAGCTTGCCTTTTCTCTCGAGCCACAATATCTCTTGGGCTATGCTTAGTGGCAAGATGTCCTTCATTTTAATTAGAATACATTTCAAGATACAATGGCTCCCCAGAATTGGTCCCATAGCTTTCATTTCATTTCATTTTCTAACTGTAATTAGAAACACACACAAGGAATGTAGTTTGCTGGGTATTGTTTTGTTGGGTATTATCAGGTTGCACTGAACAATTCAGGATGCTGGCGTTGACCTCCAAAACCCTCAATTTCTTGGGGTCAGCATAATGATACATCATTACCTAGTTTATCCCCACCCAATATATGCCTATATCTATATTTATATCTCAACATAATTTCTTGGGAATAGATCCACCCTGGACTTGCCCAAGGCACCAGCCAATGGGGTCTCTCCTGCTACCATCCCAGATCTCTTTTGATCAGTTATATTCTTAACATTTCTCATTTTGGCATTTTATATTTTTCTTTACTCAAAGAGCCAAGTTGAACCAAATGGAAGGGAGGATGTAAATACAAGCTAATTGCTGAGACCTCACATTTAGCTACCAGTAATTTTTTGTCCCTAAGGAATATGGTTTACAATAAGCTCTTTCATGATGATTTTATAATGCTGACTGCTGTCCAGTATGCTCCAGAGTAAATACAATGCATCTCATTCTAATCTGAAATGCATTTTTCCTGTTACAATAGATGTGCATAAGAGGCACACCATGTAAAGTGGCAAATCCTTCGTACCAAGCTGTCATGCAATTTGCAACTCTAAATAATTTGTCCAGTTGTGGAATCCAAAAAGACCTTGGAACTTGCCCTCTCCCCCTCAATTTTATGTCAAACTGAGGAGTGTTTTCTATCTTCACTGGTGCATACTTCAGAGTGGCATTTTCAGCTCAAGATGAAGACATCTTCTCACAAAAATAGTTTTATTTTTTAAAAACCTTTAGCTTTCAGGCACCTTTGGGTCTGTTTCAATCCCTTTCACTATTGTTTGCATCAAAATAAACTAGCTAGTTATTTCCTGGTGTAACACATAGTATATTTCTCTACATGTACATAGAGTGATAATAAACAGATTATTTTTTAAAATCAACTTATTTTCACATTTCTCTTCTTCCAAATACGTAATCATGCAAAATGTACATTAAACTTATTATTTTGGGCAGATAGATAAATTCTCAGCTGTTGTGAACAGCCTAGTTTTTAAAGCACATTCTTATGTGTATGCACCCCACTTTCCAAATGCGAGAGGATTACCCAGTATTCAGTTTCATGAAAATTAGCTGACTGCGATGTTATTGTATTTCTATTTTATAATAAAGTTATTGTTTACACACATAGACTAGAATCCTGTTGGTTACTTCCAGTTAGAACAGACCAATTGAATCAACTGTTGAATTGTGGGTCAATGTTGATAAATCCAATAGCCTACTCTAGTTAATACTGTGAACAGGATTCAAGTAATGGAGGGGTTAAATATAAGATGTGGGTTCACAACTTACATTAACACTCCAGCATACATCTGTTTCTTATGATATAAATAGAGAATCCATGATTCTGTAGGATTTCCTACAGAGACCAGCATTAGCACTATGCCCTTTTTCTCTTTTTGGATCCCGCTCCAACACAGGCTGAATCCTTACTATACAAGAGACCTCGGCTATCTTCTTCCTTTGTCAATGGATTGGGGAGGGAAAGAACCATCCTGATTTTGTCACTTGTCACCTTCTTGTAGTACCCACCAGAAATTTGGCTACAATCAGCCCTTACTTGAAAGATACTGCCTCAAGGCATTCATACGGATAGCTCCACTTACAGAAGTCTTTGCTGTTTCAGAAAGGTTCCTTGATCCATTTGTAATCAAGAGAGGGAACAGACCATACTTCCCAAAACTGTCACAATATTTAGAAATGGCAATGTTTTAATGAAATATAGCAATGCTTTGACTGAGATGCCAGCTGTTCCCCTTTCCTAGAGTCAGAGAACCTTAAGATAGTAATGCCAGTAACTTCAAGGTTGGACTTCTGTAATGCACTTTCCATTGGGCTACCTTTGTACCAAGTTTGGAAACTGCAGTTGGTTGGAAATACAGCAGCCAGATTGGTTTCAGGAACATCTGGGAGTGAGCATATTATACTTATCCTAAAGTCACTCCACTGGCTGCCAATGAGCTGCCGTGCAAAGTACAAGGTCTAGGTTACCTACAGGATTGCCATCCCCTGTACAACCCACCCTGAACACTGAGGTCCTCTGGGGGCGGGGATGTGCTCTAGCCTGCCAGAAGCCGACTGGTGACTGTCACCCACATGGCCTTTTCACTGGTCTCCCCAAGACTGTGGAACGATCTGCCGGTAGAGCTTCAACAGCTAAATCAGCTGTCAGAATTTAAGACACAAGTGAAGACCTATCTCTTCCAGCAGGCCTTCCCAGACAGTTTTAATGAAGAATTTTTTTTCTGTGTCAGGAGCGACTTGAGAAACTACAAGTCGCTTCTGGTATGACAGAATTGGCCATCTGCAGGGACATTGCCCAAGGGACACCCAGATGTTTTACCATCCTTTGGGACGCTTCTCTCTTGTCCCTGCATGAGAAGCTGGAGCTGACAGATGGGAGCTCAGCCCGCTCCCTAGATTTTAACTGCCAACCTTTCGGTCAGCAGTCTTGCCAGCACACGGGTCTAACCCATTGCTCCACCAGGGGCTCAATCTGATTTGATGGCAAACAGGAAAAGGCTTCGAAACTACCTTGCTTTTTACCAAATATCTATTAAACATGGTTAGCACAATGTTACTGTGTCTTTCAAGTTGTTTCCATCTTATGGCAACTCTAAAGCAAACCTATAATTAAGTTTTCTTGGCAAAATTTATTCAGAGGGGTTTTCCCTTTACTTTTATTCGAATTTGAGAGACTGACTTGCCCAAGGTCATGCAGTGGGTTTTCATGGTCAGGTGAGGATTCAAATAATGATCTCCAGGGTCATATCCAGCATTTAGACCATGACAGCTCTCTGGCTCACATAGCATGTATTTAAAAAGACTGAATCCATTGTGTTCTGTGCTGGTTTGATATCTACTGCCTCCACTTTTGACAAGAAAAGCTATTTGAAGAAATCCAGAAAACCATGAAACAAATGGATTTCCTTTTGCAATCACTGGTGCTGCTGCTGCTATTGTTATTTCAAGGCCAACATTAAAGCAATTTGGGAGGTTTCGGTCAAAGACACATTCTACAGTCTGAGCCAGCTTTATTAGAAAATGCCTAGCGATGTCCTCTCTTTTCTTAGAAACAAAGCTTCTCTTTAAATTGAGATGGCAAAAACTGGTCAGAGAAAACAAAGACAGTACTTTGCCTCAGGAATCCACTGGATATTTTCCTCAGCCACAGATGTTCATAGAGGAAAAAGTGTCTCCAAGTTCATGCCTTTAAGACATGGTGGTAGACCTGCCTGAGGATGATGGGAAATGTACTCAAAAGCATCAGGTTGCAAAAGGTCAATCTGTATAATAACCTTAAAGACTGCTCTTTTTCAGAATTTCCTGTTTAATTTTGTTGCTCTCCCTTTTCTCTTTCTTTCTTTTTTTAAATGACTAACATTTCTGAATCCTTAGGTCATAGGAAAATTCAACTGGAGCAAGGCAGCCCTCCAGAGTCATCCATGTTTACAACGATCACATCCCTCTCACACATACTGATCTCTCTTTCTTTATATACACACAGGGTGAACCACAATACACTTGACAGTTATAGATGTTGAACATCCATTGAAAAGACTGGGATAACATGTCCATGTAGGTATTAATTGGTTTTAAATTGATTTTCCTATTAGTTTAGCTCTTTATTTTTGTTATTAAATTACAGACTTGTGATTTGTATTAATAAATGCATGTGCCATGTGACTGTTGCTCCATCCTATACACATATACAGAGAAAGAGAGAGACTGTGAGAAATAGGTTTTGCAGCTTGGGGAAACCATAATGTTGTTCCTTATTGGGCATATAGACAACAACAATGAATGACACAGTGCAGTGATCCACTCTAAGGGCCACACTCAGAGGTATGGTTGCCAAGTCATAGCATCCCGAAGCCCCTAGATTTCAAGGCTAAAGGACAGCCCCAATGATGTTAAAGGGTATTGTCTTTGGTGATGTCACAATGGGCAGGATACATGAAGAATCAATGATACAGTATTTAATTCCTATAGGAAATACCAGACAAATATTTTCAAACAAATTAGAAAATATTTATCTGGTTAAGTGTTAGGTTTTACAATCTGTGATCTGAAGAGAAAGCCAAATTTTTTCTAGTTTTGTTTTTAACTCTTTAGTGAGTGCTGCTTTTTAATGACACATTGAAGTACAGTTACATGAAGTTTCTTATATTTTGCTTTGAGCAGAAAAAAACAGACTTCCCCCAGATCTCTTTTTAACAGCTTTGCAAGCACTTATTACAACAACATGCTTAAGTGCTGTAGTCAGCATCTCCTAAGGGAGCAAATATTGAGGCAATTCACTATTTCTCCATGCAGACCCGCCCTCCCATTCAGCTCTGTTCTAGGAAACTTTAAAGTGAGGAATGCAGTTAGTAGGGGAGACTTCTTGCAGACTCTACAGCAACTGTTCCAAAGCATCCTGTAAGTATGAGGGGCAAATGTCATGTGTCTTCAAGTCACATCTTTTATTAGTTGCTTCATTTATATCCTGCCTTTCTCACCCCCATAGGGGAACATCTGACTTATGGCGACCAAAAGGTGAACTTAACATGGTGTTTGCCTGGCAAGATTTGTTCAGGAGGAGTTTGCTATTGCCTCCCTCTTAGACTGGGAGAAAGTGGCATGCTCAAAGTCATCCAATGATTTCCCAAGGTAAATGGGAATTTGAACCCTAGTTTCTCAGAACCCTAGGCTACATCTACAATGTAGAATTAACTCAGTTTGACACCACTTTAACTATAATGGCTTGATACCATGGAATCCCAAGGGTCGTAGTTATACAAAGTCTTTAGCATTTTCTCCCATAGAATGCTGATGCCTCACCAGACAAAACAAATCAGAATTTGAACTACTATTATGTAAATGTAATTGGTAAAATTATAAATGTTGATTAAAATGTGGTATGGAAGAACAACATCTGATATTGCATACAGATAGTGTCATAGAAAAAGATGTGGTCAAAGGGTTTGAAAATTTCTTTTTGTTATGATCTTAAGGACAGTCTTTACAAAAATACAACAACAAACCAATTGTATATAATTCCAGAAAAAAGTATAAAGATGTTTCAAATGTATGTTAGAAATATGAGTATCATGTAGGGACATTTTATCATGTGTGGTAGGCCAGTGGAAAAAACTAAAACCCTGGAGCCCAAATAATACTTTAATACAGGTATTGAAATGTCAAAATGCAAGCCTGCATGCCAAACACACCACATATCTAACACATATAGAGAGTAATATGGCATATACACTATGAAAAGAGATCAGCCTATATAGAATTGCTATTATGAGTAGAGCCATTAAATAATTTACAGACTGGTAAATTTATTTAGATCCCATTGATTGAGTCTATTCTAGTTGAACAAACAATTGTATTTAGGTCAATTTTAAATGCACCATCTCTCTCTCAGCACACATAGGCTCTCACATGCAAATCTATGCAACACAAATGCATCCAATTGTAGCTTCTCAAGAGCTAGAACTACAATTGGTATACTTTGTCAGTGTTTGATGGATATAGTCATAATATTAACTGCATGACCACAGGCATCAAATCGCTAACAGCCTCCTCATTATGCATCCTAATGTCTCCTTTATTGTTGTGTATCCCTAATGTAAACTTATGTGGTTTCTTGACAAGGTTTCCTTTTGCCTTTCTCTGAAGAGAGTGTAACTTACCTAAGGTCACCCCAGTAGGTTTCCATGATCAAGCTGGGATTCAAACAGTCTCCAGAGTCCTAGTTCCACATTCCTCTTGCCAGATCTTCACTTTGTTGTGTTGACTCAGCTTATGTGTTCCAGTGAACACACATACTCCCAGTGCGGCCACCCATTGCAACAGGGTCATAGGGAAGGAATAAAATGAAGAACAATTTGAAGAATGATCCAAAGACCTCAATGGTGAAGCAGGCAGATGAAAACATGGTACATGTAACAATGACTATGAAGGCGAACGAAGGTTGCAACAGATAAGCGGCCGCCAATCATCGAGGTAACCATGTCATTGGATGAAAGCTGCTTTCTGTGAAGACTATGTGTTGGTCGCTGTGCTCTAATCTCCACAGAAATTCATGCATAGCTGTCTTCTAAGCAAGCCAAAGTCAACAAAAGTCCCATGGCGATCGGTGACAGACTCTGCTAACATCCGCTTTGTTCAAGGTGACACCAGGTCCCAAATCTGCAGTTCTTGTGGAGCTAATTATTAATTATCTTGAGTGTTCAACAAAGGGCAATGCAAAGAGGCAAGACAGGATTATATGGAACACCCCAAGGAGAGCATTTTTCTTTGGTCTGTAAACTTTTTTCCTTTTTCTGATCCACCATACTTAAAATATCCCCCTGCTTTAATGTGATCCTATTTATCTACTCACATATTTGTTTTCAAACTGCTAGGTTGGCAGAAGCTGGGCTGAAAGCTCAGCCACTCACCCTGACCCGGGCTTCGAACTATCAGTCTTCTGGTTGGCAAGATTTATTGCAGCTTGGTGATTAACCTGCTGTGCTAAAGTCCAGCCTTGTTATCCTATCATCTTGCATGAAATGTGTACATTTATTATATTGAAATAAGTCACTTTACAAATCAGTAAACTGTACATATTCTGAACATTGTGTACAAGTAACACTAAGTGCAGTTCACAAAAGATTGTGCCAAAAGTAATAGATGAAGAACCCCTACAAGTTGGGAAATGTTTTTGCTACAATTATATAATTTTGTCACTATCTATCAATGCTTTAAAAACCATGGAAGAACACTGAAAACATATGTAGGCCATACAACTAGGATGGTATTATTGTGTGCCTTCAAGTTGTTTATGATTTATAGTGACCCTAGCTCTGCATATTCTTTCCTAATTTTGCCTATGAAATGTATTGGGTTGCCAAAAGTCAACCTGAAGGCACCTATATACATACAAAGCAAACCTGTTACAGAACTTCCTTGGCATGATGTGTTCAGAGCACATTTGTCATTGCTTTCTTCTTAGGCTGAAAAGAGTCTGGCTTGCCCAAGGTCACCCAATGGGTTTTAATAGCTGAACAAGAATTTAACCCTGGTCACCAAGGTTGTAATATGGTGCTATACCACACTAACTCATTGTGGTATCATATCACACTGGAATTAACTGAATTTAAAATTATGACATATGATCTTTCGAATGTGCAAACGCATCTTGGGAATTTATCATACTTTGGATTTTTAGTGCATCAGTTGATCATGTCAGCTGTTAAAATTTATATATGTGAAATAATTACATCTACTTTTGAAATGTAAAAAAAAGTGGAGTTACATTTGTAAATTGGCTTTACTTGATAAAAATGCAAGCAGAAGGCATTTATTTAAGACAAGTAGACCACAGGCTGAATAATGTTCTGGTTCACTTGTCACATACATGCTTCTTGTTACTAGTGAACGGCAGTACCCAGTTGTGCCTCTTTTCACAGCTCCAGCCTTAATAAAAGGACTACAAGATGCCAAGAAACACATTATCGCCAGTCCTGCAGTATCCCCAGCATCTCCACAAAAATCCTTTCAGTGCCTCCGCTGGCTCCCTTACAAGGCCTTATGTGGCACTATAGCAATGATGGTAACCTTTAGTGTAATGTGTTATCCATAGTCTCAAACTGCCTTTTATTGGATGGAAGAAAGTGCTTTCAGTCCAATGAAATAGCAAATACATATGCTTAAAATTGCAGCCTTTCCAAATATTTGAAGACAGCCTACATTCACATTTAGAGATGTTCTAACAATTAAAAAAATTAAAAATGATTTGCTGTTATTGCAATGGTGTATATAGCTTTTTTACTTCCTCTTTGGGCAACCTTCCCCCTCCAAACTTATAGATGCATTATATTACATCACATCGTTTGACTTTGATTCAACATTGATACCAATGACTGAATTTTTAAATTATTTATTGAATATGTAAACAGCATTGAGCCATGGCAGTTGAAGTGGTAGCATACTGTATTAATTTTACAGGGCAGATGCACTCTACAACACAGAATATAATTTCAAAACGCAGGAAAAGAGATTCCACCTAAAAATTAGATGACAATAAGGCTGCATCTATACTGTAGAATTAACACAGTTTGGCACCACGTTAACTGCCATGGTTCAATGGAATGGAATCCCGGCAGTTGTAATTTGGTGAGGTACCCACAATCTTTAGTAGAGAAGGCATTGTAAAAGTACAGCTCTCATGATTTGATAGCACTGAGCCCTGACAGTTAAAGTGGTGTCAAACAGCATTAATTCTATAGTGTGGAGCCACCCTGAGAGCTGTTCGACAGTGGAATACATTGTTTCAAGTGTAATTAAGTCTACATCTCTGGAGGTTTTTAAACAAGCTAAATGGCCATCTCTCAGGAGTGCTTTGATTGTACATTCTGCATGACAAGGGGTTGAAATGGGGAGCTCTTATGGTCTCTTTTAACTCTGGCAAGAGCTTGGAAACGGTGCTTTTTAGATTATAACTCACAGAATCTGGCACCAAACAATCCCCACTGGTTTCTGTGGTCTGTTATATATATAAAAAGTAACATTGCCAACCTCTGCACCTGCATAAATAATTTTCCATTGCACCACCAGACAATCCTGAAGGCTTCTGCCACTGATACGGAATCTCTCTGTGTCCTTGGGAGTTTCCGCTGAGGACAGCGGCATGTCATGTTACCACAGGGAGCTGGGAGCCTCCACACCTGGACCGCAGCCAGGCAGCCAAGCCCCTATCTGATCAACCTTAAAAACAAACAAACACAGGACACATTCTTCTCTACAGCAGTCAAAAATGCCCTTCTGGCGATGGCCTCATTCTTCAGAATGCTGAACTTTTTTTTAATCAATATTGAGAGGATGTAGTAAGTAGTTTTTAATAGGTAACAGGGTTGATCAAAGTAGGTAAGTCAGAAACAAGTAGTAATGGCTCCATCTTGTTTAAAGCACAACTAATGTGTAATTGTGATTCAGAAGCCAACTCTTTGTGCAAAGGAAATACTCCTGCTTGGGACGGGGGAATATGGCATTATTCTACTACTCCAATGGCAATGTTATGTTTGTAAGCAAACTTTACATATGCTTCCATGAGTTTGGTTGTCACTGTTGAGCCATTCGGCTGATCTAAACATACAACTTGAAACCTGAGCTGGGAGTTTTATCTTAAATGAGGGCAAGTACTATTCAAGTGAGCATAACATGGCAAACATGTGCCAATATTCCCTGCCTATATCTGTTGTTGCCGATTGTGTCTCCCCACATACCCCACCACTGGCAATTCTGTTTAAGGATGGTAACTATTTGCAGTTCAGCAAACTGTGCACACCATCTCTGGCCAAAAGCAGCTTTTCTTCATCACACTAGAGCATGAATCCACTTTAAATCCTGTTTCTGCCTCCTGCATAATTCTGGGGTTTGTAGTTTAGTGAAGATGTTAAAGGTTCTTCCCTAAACTACAAATCCCAGAATTCTGTAGGAGGCAGCAACCGGATTTAAAGTGGATCCATTCTCTGGTGTGATGAGGTCCATATGATGAGAGTAAGGTTTGCTCTTCATATTCATACATCTTGGAGTCAATTGTGTGGCTGGTTTATTGTAACATTTATCCTCAAATCAAAAATCAGAACTTGCGAGCAGGGGCGGCTCAACCCATTATGCAAAGTAAGCACTCGCAGTATAGTTGATTTTGCCCAGGGGCGATCTTGAGGCGCTCTTGGGGGAAAATACACCTTGACATATGTGAGTTGTAGTTACTGGGATGTATAGCTCACCTAAAATCAAAGAGCACTCTGAACTCCACCAATGATGGAATTGAACCAAATATGGCACACAGAACTCCCATGATGAACAGAAAATATATATCAATGATTGGTTGGGGCGGGGCCCAAAATACTGTTTGCTTACCGTTGAAAATTACCTAGGGCCGCCTCTGCTTGCGAGGCTATATTACAAACGCTAAAATCTGGTTTCAGACAGTATTTGAACATGTTTGGGGGTACATTCTAGTATT